GTATTGCCACTTTTTAAAAATGTGGCAACCATCTTCAAAAATTCTAAATGTTCAAACTAAAGTTTTTCCAACATTCCTCAGCTTCACACCCGTACTTTCATATTTCAAATAGTTTGCGTATAAGTTAATTAAATTCGACTTTTTTAACAGGTGGCAACCTTCTTCAAAAGCAGTTTCAAGCTAAAACCTTCTTAAATAACCTTCGTCTGACATTGTGACGCATATTATAACTAACTGATGAAATAAGTTGAATTGTAAGTTGAATTTTCAAAACATGTGGCAATCCTCCGAATATAGTCTAGAAATAAAGTCTTGTCAAACCCAATTCGATTGATACCAATATTTTAATAATTCATTGAACTTATTAAATAATGTAAATTTAACTTTTTAAACGGGTGGCAACCCTCTATAAGCATCTCAAAAGTTATCTTAATGTTAAAACTACAGATTTTTAACACTCTTTTGTTTCGCATATTTTAGTATTTCATTTTGTATAAGTTAACTGAAGTCGACCTTTCAAACAGGTGGTAACCCTATTCAAAATATTTACAGACCATTACCTTCTTAAATTTTTTTCATCTGCGCCCATAAGGTGATACATATTTATATTACTTTATTCCCTTAACTCAAACTCACTTTCATTTTTTAAAAAGGTGGCACCCCTCCTACAGTAAAGTCAAGAAACAAAGCTTTTTAAAACCATTTCGATTGATATCCATCTTGTAATAATTGGTTTAACTTAAAGAATTTGACATTCAAGTTTTATTAGGTGGCAACTCTTTTCGTAAAAGTTTTAGTTTCACCCCTAATTTTTGAAAATCGAACGAACGGTGCGGATCTGATGACCTGGACAAAAAATGCCTTCCTGTGCAATAACGACACAATTCAATATTCAGAAAATAAGAACTGGTACTACTGTTAAGTGGCTCATGTCTCTAATCCTTATCGAATCCATGTCTAATCCATAGTACTTACTTTTGCAATCCTTACTGCCTACTTACAAGGATTAGAGACAATAGCCACTTAACAGTAGGAACAGTTTTTAGTTTTCTAATCACATCTCTCGCTTTCTTTCTCGAAATCGCCAACCAGTCGGAAGGAAGGACCTTCCGTTTTAGGGTTCAGGGCATTTCAGGTACAAGCATAATCCTTAAAACATTTGCCGGGGTCATGATCAAATGAGACGGATTGTTTGGCTTCTTCATTGGAAGAGGCTTTAACGTGGAGCATACCAGTCCCAGCGTACAACAAAGACCTGGTTCAGTTCTTTTACAACACGTTTACGTGTATAGCGATCCACTTGATCGGAGATATATGAACGCTTACAGTCCCAAGTCTTGGTGGACAGATTTTAGTGGACCCTTAAATCGAGTACGCCAGAGTGGTCTCACTAAAGTTCACTCGCTTTCTGCTTCGACCAAACGCTATCAACGATTTTGGAGCAACTGTCATCGCCATATCACATTGTAACCCAAATATCTAATGTTTCACATGAAAACGTTTATACGGTACGGTAGCCAGTATATATGTAACTAATTGCACTCAAAAACGCGAACAGATATTAACAAGTCCAGCTTAGCGCTAAAGTTAACCCAACTGTCCCAGCTATTGCTAATCATGTTGTCAACTTTTGCTTTTTGCCTCGCCTCAACGATAATCAAAATAGACAGCATCAACACCAATGTCGAAAGTCTCTTAATTGTTACGAATTTAAATAGACAACATTCCAAAACCGGGTGAAATGAATTGAAGTGCAACACAAGAGGTTACAAAGTTTGTGGCGAGGGCAAAAGAAATTTCAAATTTTAACGTCAAGTCCGAATAAAGCTTAAATTTGGACGGTAACTGTAACATAAAATGACAGCGACATCTCAATTGGATGCCAATTCGAACGAAACGAAATACCAGCAGCACAACTCGGAAAAAGGGCGCCAGAACAGGTGGGGGCGAACAAAATGATACAGAGCAAAAAAAAAAAAAACAAAAAATGTATATACATGCAGCGAATCAGACAACGAATTTCAATTGGAAACAGGAATTGGCAAGCGTTACGAAAAGTGGATAGGTGACAGATTGCTGAATAGATGGATACACTGGTCAGCCAAAGGAGGCAACTAACTTCATACATATGTATGTAGATAGATACATAGATATTTGAATGAATAAACCAAACAAAAACTTCCATTTGAAACTTTGTCGGCTTTCGAACAGCAGAAAAGACAAATGTCATCACAAGCTACGAACGGACCAAGAATATATGAACTTGTAAGTTTGTCTGTGCCGAAATCGTCGAAGGCAGACGGAAATGCTAAAACAAACATTTTACAAGCGATTGAGGAAGCTAGCAATCCTACTGTAACTACAAACATACTTACGTGCATATATGCATACATACATACATAGTTAGTTGTTGGATTGGCTAAGGAAGTATGTACAAATACAGAACTAACTTGTTGGAGAGTAAAAGTCCACCACCATCAGTCTTCAATAGGGGCGTGAAGGCTAATAATTGAGCACGTAATTGAAACGCTTGACAGCGCTGGAACGCACAAAAGCGCAAAAATAAACCAGGAACAAAATCACCAGCCAGCAGACGTTGACAAACAGGCAACAAGAAGTATTTGGCCAAATACAATGGAATTGGATGCTGTGCTGTGAAATTGTACAAAGCTACAGGTTGAATGCATTGAACTGAAGACAATGTACATTCGGTTGAATGAAGTTGTGGCCAGAATGCAAGTAGATGGCCTTAGCTATGAGTAAGATTAGACCCTTTACTGTAGTCTACGAAAACTAAACAGTTTTTGGTTCATTTTTAACTTTGAGGGCAACCAGCACCCCAGTGCAGCACTTTCAAATTCAAGATAGTTTTCCACATTTCTACACAGTTAAGGAATACCGCCACTTAGCGATTTTAATAAATTTTAGTATAAATATCATAAATAGATAGGCGGTTGCACTCAGAAAAGTATTTTACAATGCTTTAAGTGTCTTTCATCTCGCTCTTGTAATGGCCAACCACTCGCGAAGAAAGTGTTCAACTATCTTCTTCGATACTACACGGACTGCGCCATAGACGGTTGAAGGAACTGGGCAGGGTGTCCTGTGCAGACAGTCCTGATTTAGAAGGTACTTGCCATGCTCAATCCTGCTTAGCTTTTGAGGGATAAATTTTGGTTATTTCACTTTGAATTTTCCTGAGCCAGTCAGCCATATCAATTGTGTCGGAGCCACACTGCACTAGTACATCCACTGACTTCGAAATTATAAGCAATTGAAGCTTACTCTCTCATATGGTATGCCACAAATTGCGGCCTACCCGAGAAAGAGGCGAGCTTCTGAAATGCAACCTGGCTTTCAGTGAAAATTTTCAACAGCGCTCTCACAAGTGCTTGGTGTTTTGTATGACCTTACCGTCCTAGAAAATGCTGACATATGGACGGGTGTATGAGAGACAAACGCCAGCTATGTCCCCCAAGCTACAGCACTTTCTTTAGCAGTCTCTTTAGAATAGCACTCCGCCGCAATGACCTTACTTTATAGTTAGTTGCCTAAATCCTGAAATCTGATAGCTCTGATCACAGCTATCGGCTATCCGATAGAATTACAAATATTTAACAGTAATGAACTTAGTCTAGCCAAGACCAAACAGTCATAGAAAATTGGTATTGAAGTCCCATATTAAATCACAGTCGGTTGTAGCCAATTAAGCGCCTAGAGTGTAGGCTAATAGCATTTCAATACAATAGAATAATATCCTTTCGGTTGAAAGGGTAGCTGAATAGGCTGACTTGCCTATGACCACAAAATGTATTTTCATGAATCTTGCCGCTTTGCTTGGCTATTTCCTCGATAGTTGGCCTAGTAGTTTGAGCATCGAGGGCCCTCTATCCTTTTTTGATCAAAAGATGATCCGTTATCAACATCTTGGTATCAATATTGTTATCGATTTTAATTTATAAACATAAATTTGTGCATACACACACATTTCCTTATTAATATGGCGGGTATAACAATCGATAACGATATATTTCTGTTGATATCGGCATATTTATCGATAATTTTATCGATAGTTTTAGTTGATATTAATTTCTTATATTTAGTTACTGGTTATCGACATATATATCGATATATTTATCGATTTTCGAACACATTTTTACGTACAATTGCCAACAAAGTGCCTGGTGTAGCGATTTCCAATGCTTTACTGCTTTGTCTGTTAAAGAGTGTGTATGCAGAGTTGGATTGGTTCGTCAAAGCGGTTTTTTTTGGTTTTTCGAAAATCGGTTTGGCTCGAAAATCAAACAAAAATAATAATAATAACGCGCAAGGTTAAGTGTTAAGTGTCTGGCAAATAGGATGGGTTGCCTTGACACTTGATATTTCCACATGGTAATCAAAGATGGTATATATTTATTACCGTATTTAACAAAGAGGAAAAAAATAGGTAAATTTTTCTATTGAAAATTGGTTGAAACGCACCTTTAAAGCTTTATGAAAAGTGGTTCGGTTTTCGGTTCGAATCAAGCATTTGTGGAAAATTTCGGCTCGGTTAATGGTTCAGCTAATTAATAGAAAAAACTCGGTTTTCCGGTTCAAACCCATTTAACGTCCCTACTATTAAGTGTATACTGCCGAAACTAGAAAATAATGATATTTTAAATACGAAAAATTTTCCGAATAATTCATCTCAATAATTTAAAGGTTATAAACGTGTCAAGCTATGTCACAAGGATAGTTGCAATTTACACTTTTTTTTACGCACACGTCAGACTCAAACCAGTCAGTTGGCAATTCGTAGCTGCCAATCTATCAATGTTAGCTGCATTTGCAATCGACGCGCCTTGCATTTGATTCGCATTTGCAAATGACTTGTTTCATTGTCGTGTTTGACATACTTACACACACACATTTATGCACACATACATCTATTCATACGCAGTTAGCTTACAAAGTTTCTAAACTTCCCACTCTCTCTCTGTTTTCCTTCTTCATTGCAGACAATAATTTCGTTTGCGATTGCCGCCTCCAATGGATATTCGAATTGAAAAATCGTACACGCTTCATGCAGCTGCGTGACTCGCTCGAAGATTTCGTCTGCACACTGCACGATCCGAAAGTGTCCAACTTCATTGAACCCGTACCAAATCACATTTTAGACCTATTGAACATCGGTTCCAGCTACAATAGTGCCGAATTGCATCTGAGTGGCAGCAGTAGTGGGCGCAAACGGTTCTCCAAGGTACGTCAAAGTGGCACACAGCGTGCCATGGGTGGTGGTGGTGGTGTTGGCGTCAACAATGGACAGCGACTGGGGCAAGTGCAATTAACCGCCGACGCCGTCGATGGTGTTGCTGTTGGTGTGGGCGATGATGCCGCCATCGCTGCCGCCGCCGCCGCCGTCGCTATCGTCAACGCAGCCGAAAATAGCGCACACATATTGACACTAAGCAAACGTTCAATTGTTGACAAAGAGGGCGTAATTGTAGCCGCCGCCGCCGCCGCCAGCAGTCAACCTGAAGTGTATAACGATGCATTCTTGGCCGCATCGGGCATACCAGACGCCGCCACAGCCAACATAATTGGTGAAAAGAAAAAGAAATCTATTGCGCCTGCCCAATTGCGCGATGATTACTACGATGAAGCCGTCAGTGTGAGTGGCAGCAATGCCGCGCCCCAAGGTCTCTTGATGGCGCAACAAGTGGAATTGGGCGATGGCTTGGATGCGCTCAAACAGAATGCTTTGTACAATCAACAAACCAATGACGTAGTCGGCATGACCAATACCATCACCGAGCATGCAAGTGGTGGCAAGCCACAGCCGCTGGGCATTAAGGTGCGCCTCTTCACGCTGAAGCCAGAGCGACTGCCGTGCCACGATGAATTGAGCGATCCGACAGAGTTGCCATTGTCGCGCGATCTCATGGATGTGCGCAGCAATCAGGCGCAGAGTAATATGTCATCGGGCAGCTATGGCTTGACAATGGCTACGACGTCACTGGCAGGCGTGGCGGCGATAATGTTGCGCTTCAGCTGCAGACGGCGAATCGGTTAAGAGCGGCATGCGTGCATAGGGTGCGGCGGGTGCGGTGGGTATAAGATATTTTTAAATGTAGGTGCGTTTACGGAGATATTGCGGAGAAATTCGGAAGAAAACAATAACTAAACACAATTCTCACTTTTTTTTTAGTAAGTTTAGTTTTTTATTCAGATTTTTGCCTACCTATATTAAAATTAAGGAAGGTTAAAAAAAAAATATTAAATGCAACGATTTTTAAGTGTTTTTATATACGTACGTAATATTGCTTATTTTGTTGTGTGAAAAGATCTCTGTAATTTTCAATGCATTTGAAAGCGCAAACTAGACTTTTAGCGACACTGTAAATAAAAAACAGAAAACATTTCGAAAATAATTAATACAAAACTAAAGTAAAACAAAAACAACATGCCTGTTGCTACTGTAGAAAAACAAGCTTAAGGAATCTGAGTAATCTAAGGAAAAAAGAGCAGGCAGTAATAAAACGTAGTTAGCTTATGATTGTATATAAAAACTAATAAAAATGCAAGAAATGCGCTAAAAAAAAATTTTAAAAAAAATATATAAAAATTAAAGTAAAAAAAAAGGTTTTTAAAATCCAGTGAAACAAAATATATTTAAAGTATTTAGAAAAATGCTTTGTGAAATAAAAAATTATTTAAAAAAAAAACACAAAAGTAACATTTTAAGACGAGCTTCAATTATGTATATCTATGCTTATTTTTTGGTATAAATTTTATTGAAAAATGTAACAAACTTAGTACTAAAGTAACAAGTAAAGTAAAAAATAATAATTACTGATAACTAGGTAAAGGTAAGAACTGCAAATGGTAAAGCACTTAGCTTTAATACGCTCTAACCAAAGCATTTTTGTTTGCCTAATTGGCAAGTTACATAAACACTAACAATAGCATAGTGGCAAAAAGTGAAAAAAAACACATGAGATGGTACAGTCATAGAAAATGTGTTTATGCTAAAAATAAATAATTGAAACTAAAAGTATAGAAAATGTTTGTAAGGCTTAATTAAGTCTGTGCCAGCATAGAAGTATTCACAAAAAAATATACACTGAAAAAAAAATTAAATTTTTAATTATTTATGGGAAAATATTTAGTTTCACTTTTTTTAAACTCTTAAAACTGCAGTGCATTACAAGTTCTACTGCACTTGAGATGATTGATATGTGCGCCCTAATCGGTCCAAACTTTTCCAATATTAATAATTTTTCGCATACACGCTCAAATATTTTTTAAGATGACTTCGAAAAATTTCTTAATACTACTATTTTATAAACTGCTTTTACTTACTTAAATAGGTGGACATTTCAGTACCAAATACCTAAAGGTAAGATTGCTAGGGAATCATACTCTCGCTTCAACGCAATGCTTAGTATCCGCCAAAGGCAATACCACTTATCTTTTGTATCTGTGCGGGAATTTTGTTAACCCTTAATTAGGCGCATAAAGAAAATCCCAATTAGTCGCATGGTGACTCCAAAGAAATTATTGCAATAGGAGTGTAAGAAATAAAGAAAACGAAGTGTGCGTTATCAAAAATTTTTAAGTTTTTTATTTGCCTTTAACTTAAAAAAATCTTAACTTTGACCTCAATCTAAGACTAAAAAATATAAAACTCACCTCCGCTGAAAAATGTAAAAATGTTGTGTGAGGAACTAGGAAACTAGTAAGAGCGCGACCACTCCATTATTTTTTGTTATGTGAAATAGCCGTGACCTCATGCGCCTAATAAAGGTTAAATAATGAAATAAGCGTACATACAAATTTTAGGCTGCCCGTTTTATAAGAATTCTACTTCTACTTTCCGTTTCAACCACGTATTTTTAATTTGCTTATGATATAGTAAAGTCGGTGCTGCTGCTATTTATTAATTCGCTTCACTATGCCGAAGGATTTTTTTTTTGAGATTTTGCTCCCACGGAGATCGAATTCTGGTTCTATGAAACTGTGAAGTGAAAATTTAAAATTCAATGTCTGGGAAAAATTAATATTTTCATTTTATCGTTTCGACATATCATTTTTAACCGATTCTCAATTATTAAAGGCTTTTCCATTAACATCTAGCAAGTAATTATTTTGTAAATTATTTTGAGTTTAAGACAATGATATTCTTTATCATAAGATGATGGTTTTGAGAAAAAACGCCCAACGCTTCTTTTTCACAGCCACGAAACTTTGTGAAAAAAGTTTTTAGATTGAAAAATTTTTTACAAATTAATTTATTTACATTTGATAAAAGAATCATAATTTTATGTGAATTGATGAAAAATGTTTTCACTTCGAGTTTTCACAGAACAGGAATTGGCACCCAGGTCCAACGAAGTGGTTATATGCCCTTTAATCATTCAGGCACAGCAGCTGACTGAGGGAATTATTGGGAGTAATTTTCGAACATCGCGAAACAACTTTGCTGATCGATTTCAACTCCGCGATTATCCGTTGGTGACTCCCAAAACAAACGAATTACTCAATTTTTTTTTTGCTTTCAACAGGTATGTGTGTGCCAAGCTCCCAGTTTGATGATTTTCTCCCCGATGACATGAAGTGAGTATGTACAAATATTTTTCATTTTGTTTGCTTTGACTCCATATACGATTTTGAAAAGGTAAAACAGACAGCGCAATCACTGAGATCGATCCATGTAGGATATGGGCGGAATATGCCATTATTTGTACACTCTTATAAAAGATTGTTGAGTGGTTGAATTAGGTTATGTTAAGGTTGTATCCTCAAATAGGGGCAGTGTACCATTGAAGCTTTGTGATACCACTATGAATGTTAGGAAAAGCTGTAGCGAAAAACACATTGAATGAAGAATATATGTTCCCTCTGTTCATCAAGCCAAAGCATCAGCACCTTATATTTCTAAACTATATTTGATGAAAATGTCCAAATGTTGAATTCGAACTTAGTTGCGCAAATAAGGCATTTAGAAATAAAACATACTGACGCTTTGGCTTTATGCCATTCTTAACAGAGGAAAATATTGCAAGCAGCAGATAACAGTTCTATAGAGCTTCTAGGGATACGTATGATACCCGCTGCTTGGCACTCAAGCCTGCAAAGTCCGCCCATTTTAAGAGGAAGCAGTTAGCAGATAGTGCGAAATTACAACCGTATAGTACCAAATGAGTACGCCGGAAATAACTGTGAATTGTGGCTTCGTGACTCCAAGCAGAGAAATTTAATGCCTCCTTTTCCCTCTCGACTAGTAGTAAACGTTCAGATCTTCTCCAGGCTCTCACTGAGCTGATACCGGGCCACCCTTTTCTAGAGTAGCCCACTGGTAGTTAAAGGAGATCTGACTCTCTTTTCTCTGTGAGACCGAAAAATACTTAAACTCCACCAAAATTGCTGGATTCAGCGACATAATATAGTAGCTCTTATTATTTTTCGATCAGACAGAAAAGTCGGACGATATCACTCGCCTTGTCTGAAACATCACTAAATCAGTCATCAGTCTAAATGTTGAATGAAATCGGGCATAGTTCATATAACTTATGTGGGGCTAATAAACTGGCAAAGAAATCAGTATCCACCTAACCAATAGTACTAGAATCTTTTTTCCTTAGGATCACAAATACTGTAATTTCATTGAAGTGTTAGAAGCAAATAAGTGGCTGTTTAGGAAAGCTTTTCGGAATTCTTCACAAAGACTGCAATACATAGAACATTGTGATACATACGCTGGCCTAAACTCCATTCCATCTGCTTATGATAACCTTGAAGCTATTGGGATTCATTAGGGTTTTATAACCAGGCGAAATCATGAATTTTGAGGGCACAATTACTTGCGGTCGCAGTGTACATTATTCATTTGATCGATTTATCTATGTTAAATATCTGGTCTATGTTGTTTTTGCCATATAGAACATCGTTTACAAACAGCTGAATGCAAAAAGTGTGAGTAATCTCATCTGATTGGTTTATTTTCATTTCTGCCAAGTTAGTAGATACCTACTAGGAAATAATTGGCAATTTGCCTGCCTGTTAGATGTTTGTATCCTTTCGCAGACTTAAAAATTCAAATTTTTCCCTATATCTGTCTTCTTCTCTTCTATATATTACGTTTTAAAAGTATTTACGACGAAATATTTCTTTTTCAGAATTCTATAGCCTTCATTTCATTTTCTTATTTAATGTTTTGTTAATAAAAAAAAGAAAACATTACTGTAAATACACACCCACTCAAACATGCATTTATGGCTTTTATAATTTTTTATGCAATAAAATAAACAAGTTTTAATTAAAAAAAATATATGTGTGTAAATAGGCATTACATTCAGCTCCAATGAGCGAATTTCACCGCCAGAATTGAAGAAAATTAAACATGTATGTATGTATAAGTTATAAGAAATAAATTCAATTACAATATTTGTATAAGTGAATACAAAACCATGACACAAAAATATTTAAAAATGCAATTGCCAGATTGTTACACACACAAACGTAAAAATGCGTATGTATGTACATACATGAGTGTATTTATATACATACATATACAACTTATTAACAAAGTAAAGAACCTCCGATGTACTGGTGTTTCAATTTTATTTAACAAATACAATAAAATGAAAAACATAAAATTAAAAAATCTAACTTCAACTAAATATAAGCATAGCAAGAAAGTCGATTTAAAGCAGAAAAAAAATAAAAAATAATAAATTATGTATGAAAAATTGGGTAAGCAAAAGTGTAAATTCGTGTTTTTATACAAACATTGCACTACTTGCAGGCGTCACAATGGTTGTTGAATTTACTGTATGTATGTATGTATGTGTAAGTAAATACACAAAATTTCATACGGAAAGTTTCATCAGATTTTCAAATAGTACTTACACACTTATAAATAAGGAAATTCTACTGATTTTTACGAAACTTTTTGTAAGAACACTCAAGCGGAAGTACCTAAAATTTTTCTAAGAAACCAATTTTTTTTTTGGAAAATTTTTTTTTCTTTCTAATAATTTCTCCAATAAACATATATGTACACCTCTTTCTACCGTTGTTTGTTTCACCAAAACCTCTATGCCTTGACTTGAATGAAATCAACTACCATAGATGCTTGGGTACACAACCGGCGCGCTTGTAAAATAATTAAATACATAGAACTACATAAATAAGTACATACAAATAAATACATATATGTATGTAAGTGTATATGTAAGTACAATTAAGAAATACTATACTGTAAGCTCTAAACGCTATTAGAGACTCGTAGGGTTAGTGGTAGCTTATTAGGACATTAGCAGCTTAACGGAGGAAATCTGAACATTTAACTCAAACAAACAAATTTGTATATTTACTTAATTGGGAAAAAAGAGAGAAAAACACTAAAAAAAAAAAAAAAACTTGCTTTCAAATAGCGTGTTCAATGTCTCGCACGTTTCCAAAAAAACTGCTTCGTTTTAATAAAGTTCACCAATCAATCATTCAAAAGATCAACAAAATCATTGCTAAGTAGACAACTTCTCATTTGCTTGATTTTAAAAAATACTACCCATCACTTTTTTTTATGTATTTTAGAAATTTTGCTACTTTCAATTATGTAATTTCAATC